AATATCTATATATCTTTTGTTAATTATTACTGATTAATTTTATCTCTAGTGAAATACCTTATCCACGACTGCTCTACGATGAAAAGCTGCCGTTCGCAGTGGTAGTGGTTTAAAAAACGCTACAGTGTGTTGATCGTCACAAGTGGTGGGTCATCTGCCACGGCCTCTCCCCTGGCCCCGTGTTTGGCGAGTCTGTCTGCTTCCTGATTGCCCACCACATTGCTGTGGCCTGGCACCCAGCACAGAGTAGCCCCGCCCTGACGCAGCCAGGACAGTGCTTCTCGGCACTCCATCACAGTTTTCGATCTCACCGATTGCATGGTGATGCTTCTTAAAGCGGCCAAGTTGTCAGAGTATATCACTATATCCCCTATTGGTCTATCAGCAATTTTCTCTCGTATACAACTAGCCGCTTCCTTTATGGCGTAAACCTCTGCTTGTAGAACATTACAGCCATCCGATAGCCTTAAAGATCATCGGATGTCTAGTTCCTCTGAGTGATGCCTATACCTGTGCCTCCTGAAGTTGCGGAAGCATCTGTGTAGACTGCTATCTCTTAAGTGTTCATTACTCGGTTGCTTGCCCATTCTACTCTTGTCGGGATGCGAATTCTTATCTTTTCTCCAAAATCATGTTTGGTGAACATATAGTCCGTTTTCTGGTCTAGTAGATGTGGACTCGTGTTCACCATGATTTTCCTTATCACTGGCAATATCCTCGAGTGACCGTAGTTAGTCTGGTTCCACAGATTAGATTCCCTTAATCCTAGGATTATAAATATATAAACAGTTATTATTTACATCAACATAACTCACCTCCTTAACAGCACTTGAGGGACATAAAGGGCCATTACTACGCTTTCCCGTTCAAAATATTCTAATGAAGTTGCGATGGGTTTATTTTACGGCTATTAAGCTATTTTGTACACTTTGCACTAAAAGATGTTCTAAAAAGAATAATGTTCGACTTCAAGATCTGCTAGTAAACATTTTTAAGCTTAGTATCACAACACTATTTATTTATACTAAGGGTTGGCAAAGGTTAGTCTTTGGTCGAGATTTCCGTATGTAAGAAGAGTACAATGCGTTTATAATGTACTGAACAAAAAGAGGACAGTAAACACGTTGCCAAACATATGAAATAAACCGAGAAACTGTGCACATCGCTAAGAGACGTGGAAGGGGATATAGCAGATTTGTCGCAGTTGACCGGTCGACCCAATCAATACCTCTGTCAGTACTTAAAGTTCTAGGGAAAGGTGTACGTCATGTTCAGCTTCACGATTTAATTACGTCTCGTGATACTTAATTTGTTCATTTATTAACGAATCGTTGTAATTTTCCCTATAGCTTGAATTGCTTTAAGTGCAAGCTAGAAACGCTTGCATTTTTGGTAAAAATAAGTGGAATTGAGTGGGTGTTCGATAGTGGTTGCGCTATTAGAACTCTAAATCCAAAAAATCGATATCTCGAAATCTATTAGAAGTAATAGATTGTAGTTTTTCAAGAACTTTGTTAATATTTCTGCTGTATTTTCTTTGTAGACAGTATGTGAAAATCTGTATCAATAAAAAAATTACACGATTGCTGAAAATTGCTATGCTCTAAAAGCAAATGGATGGATTGTTTACAATTTTTGAATAGAAAAAACAACCTTATCGAATTTTTCTTATGTAAACATATTGTAAAATATCCGATCTTGAAAATAAAAAAAAGTTTCAATATCTAAAGTGGTTCTTGAGTTATGGCCTGTTATGTGTTAAAAAATTGAGTTTTTAAATTATCGCGATTACTGACGTTTTCTCGTTATAAAAAAAATGACACCCTAACGATATCCTTATAATTCCATTTCAGATGCTCAGAAACATGTCTAATTTTATCTAGTTATCTCTTGAAAAAAAAGTCTTTTAAAAATAAGCGGTTTGCGATCGTGATTTTACTTTACTTGAGAGGGAAAGGCGTATCGGCAACGCCGCAACAGCACACAGTCGCGCGTCGCGTCGGTCGGTCGCATTTCTCTCACTCCGACTTAATAAGATCCCTATGCGATTTACTTCCACACATGTGAATGCCGACCCAAAAGTAACAGTTGCCAGCACGGTATAATATACATACGTGTAGTAAACCGATCATTTATGAAATTCACTTAAAAATTAACTTGATGCGGCAACTTGACATTCTTTACAGCAGAGGTACCACCTGAATCCTTAACGCGAAATTTAAATTCCATTTAGTCAGGACGGCGCCGAATATATGCATGGTTGACAACAATGAATTTAAAAATTGCGCCCTCGATTACATAACTAAAAGTTTAATTAATATTAAATATAAGAGAGAATACTTTTATATATTTAATCCAAATAATGCTATTACATAATAAAACTGTATATTATAGCCACTACACCACAAAGATAATCCTGTAAAACGTACAGTAAGAATTCATCCCGTTTTGTTCTAACCTCAAACTTTTTATTTATATGCCCCAAAGTGTAGCAATAAAAGCTACCGGAAATGCAGTTATTACACCGATATAAAACGTCGCTAAGTACTCTAAAGTGAGTTTTAGATCCCGAGATTTCTACGCTGTGTCGACAGTTGAGTGTCCTTATATGGAGCTATAAAAACATTTCTGGGCATGAAGCTCAAGTGTCAAGTGCCTTTGTCTGTGGCTGCTGTTAAGCTGCCCGATGTATATTTCAAAGTTATTTCTTTCTATTTATGACGATAATGTCTTTTAAAAGGAGAACTTACTACTATACAGGTCTCTTGAAAAAAGCTGTGTTTGAAAATGTTAGCAATTGCTGTCCTCTATCGCGAATTTCAAGTTTCGGAGCTTTACGCCCTGGGCTGCTCAGAACGGTTCTGAAAGAAGCTGTGCTCGATAGCCTGGTGCCTCCGTATGGCGCGGAACAGTTCTGAACTTTATGACTCAATTGAATGGAGGGAGAGTATCGCGTTCTTGAACAGTTCAGAGCTGCTCAACTGCGTGAAAGGAGGACAGCAAATGCAGTTCAAGCGTGGTGCTGACCAACTTATCTTCTTCATATACTGACAGCTATACGTATACAATGGCATTAAAAAAACTATCACAATATATTTCCAGATTTATACACTATGCATAAAACCAATTATAAAATAAACTAGAAATACGACAAACTAATGATAAAAATGAGCAAAAAAAATTCGCAATACGGAAAAAAAGGTTTTAAAATAGTTACTTATGACATGATATGGATTTCTTCTACAGTATGTCTCCGGATTGTCTTTACAAGAGGAAATACTTTTTTATTATTAGTCCTAAAACCCAAAACGCGTTTCTATGGTAATATAATTCCATTTTAAAAAATGCCTATACCTATGTGGCGGATTCATCTATCCAAAAAAATCCGTATGGGTTTTTCGCCACTGCACTGCAAGAAGAATCTACAAAATAAAATAGTTATTTTTTGTAAACACTTCTGCGTTAAACCTAAACGGACGCTGCTTGTCAGAAGTTGTGTTTACAGTAATAAAAGTTTGCCTAACAAAGAAAAAAATGCTTAACGTTTCGGAAAGTTTTCTCTTTCCGTCTTCATTTCATTTTTCAATTCCATTTTCATTCCTAGATAGATTTTTATTGATAAAATTTTAACAATTTAGTCATATTTTTTGCTGATTTAAAATGATAAAAAAGCACAAAATTGGGTTTGTTTAATGCTACGCAAAGGGCTTACTTTGAGAACAGCAATAAATATGACGTTAATCAAAATTAATAATAACCATCTCTCAAAGATGGAATCGAAATGCTATTACCATATAAACGCCTTTTGATTTTTAGGGCTTAAAAAATTCAACGGTATTTTCATGGTTTTTTTAATTTTTAATTTTTTTTTATTTTGAAGTTCGGATCTTTTACAAGATGTTTAAATGAGAAAAATTCGATAGGCTTATTTCTTCCATTCAAAAATTTAAAAAAAACCGTTAATTTACTTTTAGGGCATAGCAATTTTTAGCAATCATGTAACTTTTTTATTTGTAAAGATTTCCACATACTGTCTGCGAAGAAAATATAGCAGAAATATTAAGAAAGTTTTTGAAAAAAACTACAATCAATTATTTCTAATGGATTTCGAGATATACATTTTTGAATTTAGAGTTCTAATAACGCAACCTCTGTCGAACACCAACTCAATTCCACTTCTTTTTACCAAAAGTGCAAGTGTTTCTAACTTTAACTTAAAAATTTACAAGATATAGGGAAAATTACAACGACTCGTTAATAAATAAACAAATAAAGTATCATGAGACTTAAGTAAATCGTAAAACTGAACGCATGATATACACCCTTCTCTAGAATTTTAAGTACTGATCATAGACAAAAATTTGTCTATGGTACTGCCAATTTTTCCGTTGATAACTCTTAAATTACTAATTTTAAAAAAATTATACTTAAATGATTAAATTCTATGTAAAAAGGTGCTTTGGAAATGTTTTCATAGAAATACAAAATTTTCCATAGCAAAAAAGTTACAGCGATTTGTTAAAAATGCACATTTTTGAAGAACACCCCGTAACTCCGAAACGGTAACAGATATTGATGTGCGGTTTTCACCATCATGTTTTTAATGAAAATTCAGCTCCAGACACCGATATTAGTTTTCGTCTATCTCCTATAGAAAAGGGTGTTTCCATTTAAAAGCGTCGAATTTGACCCACCCTGTACATTATAAACGCATTGTACTCTTCTTACATACGGAAATCTCGACTCAAAACTAACCTTTGCCAGCCCTTAGTATACAATCTGAAATACTAGTCTTCACTAGTATTACTAAAATGAATAAAGTAAATTATGTTTTTTTAAGTAAATGCAACGCATTTATACTCAAAATACGAATTTTGAGAGATCTGACATCAGATTAGTGGAGGGAAGAAGAGTGGTGGTCAAGAACTACTAAAAAACACAACGATAATAAACGACAAATAGCAAAAACGAAACCTAAAATAGCATCCCCTTTGTTTCAGGACCTCGTGCTGCCCCACAACATGTCTAGTCGCATCATTCACAGCAATCAGAGCCTGGTGCTGCAGAAAGTGACGCGACAGAACGCGGGAGTGTACAAATGTTCGGTAGTGAATTCCGAAGGCGAGACCGTCAGCGACGAGCTCCATTTTAGAGTGCAGTGTAAGTATTCGAAACGCTGGTTTGAACGAAACAAATCCGGCCGCTACTGTAGCTTTAATGTCGATACTGTTATTAATGCTTGCTCCAACGTGAGCTTAAAGCTGTGACTTGTATGTCTTTCGGATGGACGCTTTTATATATTGAGTTTTAAAACAGGAATTTCTTAGTTGACTCTGGAGAACATTCTTTGTTTGGATTATTTTAAAAAAGTAATGTCGCGATCTAGCAATGAGGATTTTGGCTAGCGCCCGTCGCGCGTCGCTTAGATTCCAGTTTCTCTTTAACGATTAAAACGACATAATATAAAAAGGTCTATTTGTTGAATAAATATTATAAAATATAAGTATCTATAATTAATATAGGACAGGTTGATCTGGAAAATTCAAAGACAACTCTGGACTGTGAATAAAACGTTATACAATGAAACTGCTTAACGACGAAGAACATTTAGGCACTATACAACGTTTCCTGGTATAGTCATCTTGACCACTGCGTTATTATGTAATATGCTTAATGTAAATATTTAATAATATTACAAACTATACTAGTTTTCTATAAATATTACTCAGTACATATACACACCCTGTATAGTAAAAAACTTTTCGGAGAAACTATTTATCTAAGGAAGTTTAAGAGAGAGAACTAATCTTCATCATAACTTAATACTGTCCCATAATTATCAATTGTTATCAAGCACACTTCGATCAACTTCATAAACCTGAAATTAGCTCTAAAGATACTACTACAGGAACAAATTACTCTCCAGAACAAGTAGTTCTCAAACAATATGTCATATTAAATTATTAAGTTTCTATAACTACTCTGAAAACATTTATTAATTTTTTTGTCATAATTCAGTAACGTATGAATCACTGTTTATATTTATTTTATTTTTTGATCTCGTGTTTGTTTTATTATTACACTGTGTGTGATCAATTTTACAGTAAAAAATAATCATTCAGAATATTAGGCATACTTTTAGAGCTGCTTTAGAGATACCTTCAGAGCTGTTTTTGATTAGTACGATGTCATTAATTTATTGAAGGAATACAACGAAATTATGTTTATTTGTCCTACTTTTTAGCTTCTGGGGAATACTGACCACCCACCATACTTTTTTCTTCTTGCTTCTCTGTATATGTTGGGCAAAGTTCGCAGATCCTGTTTTTCGTGGATTCTTCATACAGGGTATCTCACGTCTATAAAAAAGAAACAGATTTTAACCAAGTTTTTGGTTTGAAATTTATAAATACAATGCTAACAATTTCTTATATGCAAAATGTAAAAAAATAATGCATCAAACTTCAGTGCGTGAAACTACAAATAAAAATAAAACAAAAAGTTCCTATGAACATAATGCTCTAAGATATACACCCCCTATATCTTGTTTTTTACAATTATAGATTATGCTGGGACTACTGATTCCCGTTTATATTTTCTTTGAGTTGTTCTACATAAAAAAAATGTTTTTTTTTCATAGTAACTGTTAAAATTGCCTTATATCTATCAAAAATAGTAGATAAAATAGTACTTTAAGCGCAAGGGTAGATTAAATGGTACTTTAACAGCGAGGATAGGTTAAAAACTTTATTTCTTCTCGCACGTTTTTAATTACTGCTTTCATTTTTGAAAATTTTTGTATTCCTTTTCATAAGTTATTCGAGATTTAAATGGAAGTAGTTTGGATATGGCGTTTGTCGCCTCAGCTTGAATATCTGTTGGTAAATTACTTATTTCGTTTTGAGCCATTTATGGCTCCAATTCAATCAGCTATCGACACTAAAGAGAATTAAAAAATATTGACTCAAAACTGACAACTAAAGAGACAGCTTTATTTATTTGTCAAATTACATAGAAACCAACGCCAACCCAGCACAATATTTTTTCTACTCGTAATAAATTTTTGAAATAATAATTTTTGAATATTTTTTAAAACGTAAATCGCTATGGAAAAAAATATTGTTCTATACACGACGATAAAATTGCATTATCGTCTCCCGAAATTAATACATCGCTCGTGAATTAATCTTTTTATTCGACGATAAAATACCAATTTATTGTCTTGTATAAAAAATAACTATTAATTAATAGTTAACCAGATAGTGTTTATTTTAAAGAATAAGTAAATCTAAAATGAAATTGCATTGACACAATTATTTTCATTGTTTTCAAACTAGGGCATTTTATATGAGAATATCAAACCTGTTTTCCTTTTCTTCTAAGATCCACTTCTTTGTCTCTAACACGCTTAGTCTCTTTTTGTATCCCGTTACGCTTTTCTCGATATTTTCTCGACTATTGGAAAATTGTTTCGCCCCGGGGCGCTAAACGTCGATTAAAGTGTCAACGTAACTGCATCGGAACTTGCAGAATTGACCCACATTTCGTCTCAAAGTCCGTACTTTGTGTTTGGATGGCCATTGACCAGTCGCCGGTCCTTGGAAAATAAACTTTTTATTGCTAAAGTTTCTTTCGAAATAATAAAACTGAATACAGTTTGAACTGTACCATTGACCAACAAAAATCTACGACTGAAGACAATTTAATATTTTTAGGAGTAAGTAGATTGTATAGGAGGGGGATGATAATCACCGCGCCCTTATACAGGGTGATGTTCTCTATGGGTATCTCGGAAACTAAACTAACTTAAATGAGGAAAGAATTGCAGTTTTGTGGGGTCATAAATATGCGCTTTTCAGATTTTTGAAAAAGTTCATGGCTTAATAGATATTTAAAAAAAAACAAATTCTGGCTATTTTAAAAATTGTCCCTAATTCCATTATAATCTATTTTAGAAATAAAGTATTCAGATAAAAGTTGAACTCGTAGATAATCACATCCTTGATGAGTTTGTATTCTCCGATTTTTTCTAAAGTCTGTCATTTTGGACATAATATATCACAAACATATTGTTTTTTTTTAAATGGAAACCAGAGTTGGCCATAATTTCATAAAAAGCACCATTTTTTAAGCTTTTCAGCGATATAAGCTAGTTATAGCCAATTCTTATTTTTCTTGACTAATTTCACTTAGTTGGCATGTTGTTCTTATTTTGTTATAATTATTTATAACTTATAAAAAGACAAAATGTATTATTAAACGGCTCTTTACAATTTACATTACACAAACTAAAACTAAAAATGATATCACTACATACACTTTAAGTTATTTTAGAAAATGTTCAAAAAATTCGCCATTGTTTTGAGTACATAAATACATCTTTTTAAAACTGAATTTCTAACTATTCTTACAGAAGGACCGGTCGACTTAATTAAACTTCTCCTGTACCACCTCTTCGAGTGTTCCTTAATTCATAAGTTCTTTTGTAAACCTTGTTGTTAACCATACGGCATAAAAAAAATCTAAAATGGATAGGTCAGGTGATCGAGGACGCCCATGCAATTGGTCCGCCTCTTTCTATCCCTGAGTCTGCATAATTATGATATAAATAATTTTTAACCTATATAAGTGTGTCATAATGAAATTCATGTTGGAACCACTCTATTAATGCGCGAGTATCAAAATTTAACTTTTCTAACATGTCTTGAAAACCGTTCTCTAAAAAACGTAAGTAACGTTAACCGGTCAACGTATCCTCGAAACTGTATGGCCAAGAAAAGTTGAACCAATAATCCTACACGCTTTTTTTCATTTGAAATATTTATATTTACAATTTTTGTTTATTTTAATTTACAAAGTTTGGATGTGACAGTTTCACATTTCTAAGAACAACGGCGATGTTGTTTCAGCAACGAACTTGTTTCCATGGCTAACTAAGTGAAATTAGTCAAGACAGATAAGAATTGGCTATAACTCGGTAATTTTGTCAAAAAAATATATTATAGCTTATATGGCTGAAAAGCTTAAAAAATGACGCTTTTTATGAAGGTATGGCCAACTATGGTTTCCATTTAAAAAAAACATATGTTTGTGTCATATGTCAAAAACGGCAGGCTTTAGAAAAAATCGGAGACCACTAACTCATTAGGGATATGATTATCTACAACTTTTATCTGAAAATTTTTTGTCTACAATAGATTATAATGGAATTAGGGACAATTTTTAAAATAGCCAATTTTTTTTTTCGAAATATCTAGTAAGCCACGAACTTTTTCAAAAATCTGAAAGGCGCATATTTATGACCCCACAAAACTGCAATTTTTTTCCCATTTAACCTACTCTCTATCTCCGGTAGTTTCCGAGATACCCACAGAGGATATCGTAGGAAACTCATCCCGTGACAAATGACACCCATTTCCATTTCATAGCCATCGCTGACGCCTTTTTTATCATATTGTATTTTTACAGTGGAAAAAAATAAAAAGTCAATCGATTAATCAATCTTGCAAATAGGAATTTAGTAAAAAGTTGCCAAATGTTGCTCTTTGGAAGCGCCATTTTTTTAATTGTAGCAGATTGTAGGCAACTGTTGACTGGAACCTGACTGAATGAATTACTATTATATATTATTATTTATAATGAACGTTTGACAAAAAAAATCAATGAATATATGATTATTTCCTTCTATTCAAAAGAAATCAAAAATCAAATAATCACAACCATATCAAAATCACACATAGATAACAAACGTACCACAGATGATGCTCCTTGTTTGTTCCGATATTCCTATCGCAAAAAATATATCGATATTCTCAATATATCGAAAGCAAAACATCGATACAATTATATCGAAATATTTCCATTAATATATCGATATATTTAATACATCGATATATCTTTACCATCCTTACTAACTAGTCGTTCAGCTGACGTCTTTCGGCAATGTAGATGCGAGGGTTTTAACGTAGTAAGCAATTTTTTCGTGTGCGGAGTAAAAATTTTGTCCCGGTAAGTTTTACAGCTTTTTTACTGAAAAATGAAAATGTAGAGAATTGAATTCTCTTAATTTTTAGTACTATAAAAATGTTATATATGCGACAGTAAAAAAAAATGCGTTTGAGTGAATTTGGCGCCCTCTAGCTTTGTCCCCGTAGGTTTAAGAGGTTTGTTACTTTTGTTACTTATGTAGAGAATTTAATTTTCCTCATTTTTTGTTTCATAAAATGTTCTGTAGGGCCTACGGTTCAGCCAGAAAATGGAATCCAAATTTTTTTGAAGTTTATCAAAAACGGTGAGGTTGGTGGATATGATTTTTTTTTTTTTTAATTTAAGCTTTTCCAGTGGAATACTTACGACTGGCAAAGTATGAGAGCAGAGGTAATTTGGTGGGAGTTAAAGTGCCAGATTGACTGTACTACTGGTTTTCTCGACAAAAAAAACTGTACCGCCAGGTTTATTTTAACCAATTATCTACTGTGTCGATTGAAAAGAAATATTTAAAACAAATATACACAAAACAACCCGGTGTTGGTAAAATTAACAAGCGCAAACAAAATTTAAATTCAAATTCGATAGAACCGGACCCGACACCTGCGTTTTGCGCCGAAATTGAATGTTTATTTTTTATTTAATACGCTGGCAAACGAGCTTGACAAAGAAATATAAAACCGCTAACCGGCGTTTAAATCTTTCAAAGCGTTTTAAATAAAATTTTCCACTTTTCCTATGTTTATTTAATTTTCCCATTTTGATGTTTTTCGGCGGGCACGAAGGAACCCATAAATATTTCCGCCGGTTTTAAAAATGTCCGCCAGGTTTTTTATTAGGATATTATGTAAAGAATTATTAAATTACACGCCATTCGTTTTGGGTGTAATGAGAAATGAAGAAAAAAAAACGGTCCTAGAAATTATTACACCTCTGTTAGGTTTGGATAAAAATAAATATGTAATTTTGTAAAGAGTTTTAATTTTTTGTTATTCATTTCCACTCCGGGACAATTTTTTTAAATGAAATTGTTTTTATGTAATTTTGGTCAGTAATTTAGTTACTTTTAAGCTTCATTCAGAACAGAATTCTACCCCTCAAATAAAGATTTTCCTAGATATTTAAATTTTTATGATTTTGCGTTATTAGATCTTTATTATTTGAAAAAATCTAGAGGTGGCTGTGTTAATTTAACAAAAATTAAGGGATGTAGGTAAAATACTGTAATAAAAAGATACATAATTGTCACAGAATTAAAACTTAATATAAATTTATAATTATGTTACAAAAATTAACTAGATGAAATCAAATGCTCCCTATCCTGTTTATTGCAAAAAATGTATTTCTTTTCAAAAGATCTTTTCATGTTAAAAAGCATACATGGTGTTCTACTTCGAAGAACAGCCACAATCATTTCTCTCATGTTGTCGACAATAGTTGGTCGAGTTACATACATATCCCTATAAAAAAGCCCAGACTGGATAAAATCAGAAGCATTTAAGTATTCTATGAATTGATGAATGCACACTGTAATCACCAATCATATCAATTCTCTCTGAAGTAGGATAAGTTTCCTTTTTAAAGAAATTTCTGAGATTGTTTTTTTGTTTTAACCGACACAAAACGGATAACTAGTTGCTAAAATGAACTAATTAGACAGCTATGTTGACAGCCACCCTAGATTTTATCAAATAATAAAGATCTACTCACACTAAATCATAAAAATCTAAGAAAATCTTTGGTTGAGAGGTCTTCTTCTTAAGGTGCCGACTTCTTGCGAAGGTTGGCGACCATCATGACTAATTTTATTTTGTTGACTGCTGCCCTGAACAGGTCGTTTGATGTACAGTTGAACCATTCACTGAAATTTCGAAGCCACGACATCTGTCTTCTTCCTATGCTTCTCTTCCCTATTATTTTACTCTGGATAATTAGTTGTAGAAGCTTGTATCTTGTACCTCTCATTACGTGGCCCATATATTGGAGTTTTTTGATTTTCACCTCTTGGGACCGTTGAGGGGTAGGCAACCTTAATAGTATTTTGAAGAGACATGAATTCCCCATTGAATATCGTTGTTTAATTTTTTTTGAGGACACACTATAGAACTCTCTATATTTTTAAAAAATGGCTCTAAATCAAACTATATGCTCACAAAATTTCATTTCAATACAAACTGTCGTTCTCCTTGGAGCATCCGCGTCGTATGAGAGGCGCCACCCTGTATATTTAATTTAAGTTGCTTTTTGAAGACATGCAGTCTTCTTAGATTTACAAGTGTAACTCTACATATTTGTTTTTATATTTAGCAAATCAATGTCAGAATAATAAATACAATAAACGTTTGTTTTCCAGACGCTCCAACTTGTAAATACGACAAAGTCATCGTTGTGGGGGCTTCACGTGGAGAAAGCGTCGATGTTGTATGTGAAATTGAATCCGACCCTCCCGCAAAAGTAAGTAATAATTAATAATACCGTATGATCGAAAAAAAACGGCGTCCAGTTGACTGGGCAATGACGATCGATGACATTTCCCATATAAATTAACATATAAAATGACAGCGATATTCATTTCATAGCCACCGCTGACGCCGTTTTTTTTTTCGATCATACGGTAGTTTGTCCTAAATTGAATTAACTGTTAGATACTTATTATGACAGGGAAGTGCTGTTGTTAATATGAATATTTTAATTTAATATTTCTACTTATAGATAATACTAATACTAGATATTATATACTTCTACATGTTAGAGTAATTATATGCTCAAAAGATTTTATATTTAGTTATACAGAGTGAGTCTTATATAAGTGCAAATATTTTCAGGGCTGGTAGATCTCGATAACAGAAACATATTTTCTCTTTATCGTTGTTCCAAGTCCAAAGTAAGCGAGATACACACACCGGAAAAATCTAGGGATATTATTTTATTAAAGTTAAAAATAAATGTTTTGAATAAACAACCACATATTTGTAGGCCGATTCTTTCTACTTCGATTGAAATGAAGTAGTCACATTAGTTATTTCTAAATTTGGGATATTTGCAGAAGTGTTTGTGCATTTTTTGTCAAATGTGTAAAAAGGACCTAGCATTAATTGTTAGAATTTAACCTGTACTGGCTATGTTTTTATGTTAACTGGCCAGAATTCATTCAAATAAATCTGTTTAGTATTAAACGACATTATGGAGCGTAGACATCTTAACAGAGACGAAATGCTAAGGGCCATGGGTATGCTCGAAGCTGGAATGCGCCAAATCGACGTAGCTAGAGCATTAAATACAACGCAAAGTGTAATATCGCGATTAAGTGCACGCTACCGTGAAAGTGGTGATGTTGCTGAAAGGCACACAGGGCGACATCGCATTACTACCTCTCAGCAAGATCATTTTTTACAATTAAATGCTCGACGCCGCCCGATTCTTATAGCACCAGAGCTTAGTTTAATTCTCCAGGAAACACATAATGTAACCGTTAGTCCTGACACTGTTCGCAATAGATTAAAAGAAGTCAACTTAAGAAGCAGGCGCCCCTGGAGAGCTCAACCCTTAACGAGAGGAAATCGAGAGGTACGATATTTGTGCGCTCAAGATCATGTTCAGTGGTCGAATGAACAATGGGCCAATATTCTCTTCACGGATGAGTGACGCTTTGGAATTCATCCGGATTCGAGAAGGCTTATGGTATAGAGAGAACCGGAAAATCTTATTCGGTTGGATCATGTTCAGGAAGTGCACCCTTATCAAGGTGGAACATATGGTCTGGGAAGGAGTCCAGTTAGGCCGAAAAACCGATCTCCTTTTTCTTGAAAGGTTTCTAACAAGAATCACATATCGTGATTTAATTCTTGAGGCTGTCGTGTTACCATATGCCAATGATTTTGGGAGAAACTTCATTCTCATGCATGACAATGCACGGCCTCATACAGCCAGAGTGGGAAGTGAGTTTATCAATGCTCATCAATTAAACATCTTACCCTGGCCGGCACAATCTCCTGACCTCAACCCCATCGAGCACGTATGGGACGCGGTCCAAAGAAGAATTTTGAGAATGGGTATGCCTCGTGGAACTCGTAGGGACCTGTTTCGGGCCGTGAATGCAGCGTGGCAGGCTGTACCTCAAGAAGAGATCGACAATCTGATCAGGAGCATGGAGAGACGATATAGGGCTGTAATGAACAGTAGAGGAGGCTATACCCGTTATTAAGTAAAAATGGTTTTATCTTTTTGTTTTAATTCACAGTTTAGAATAAAAAAAAATGTGTGTATTTTTTTCAGTTCAACAAAAATCAAGGTAAATTTGAAAAATTCGGTAAATTTCGCATTTTTATTTCCAATACGTCCTGTAAACTATTTATTTATTTTAAGTTTATTATATCAGAAATGCAAATAATAAAATTACTGACGATGGCTGGATAAAATTGTAATATCCCTAGACTTTTCCGGTGTGTGTATTTTACTTTCAAAATTTCCAAAAAAAATGATTTTCTGCTTAAATTTTGAGTACCACTGAATCTGTTCTGGCTTCTCTTTCTTGTAAATTTAATCTGCTACCTATGTTGCCATATTATCAAGAAATTTTGTTTTTAACTAAAAACTAACAAAATTTACTTATTATTTAAAATATTTGCACTTATTTAAGACTCACCCTGTGTATTATTAAGAGATACTCTCGATAATAATATTATCACCGGATATAACATTTTACTGTACCCTGACAACCACAAATAACAAACATTTGTACAAAGTTTAATACGTATTATCAACAAAAGAGTAGTTAAGCCCATTTGAAACATCCGATGCATACCACATCATTACACTTCTATATTTTAATACATTAGTATCCCCTTCATTACCATAATTTAGGTTGTATTATATTTACTATTAATCTGTGGTTAATAAATAAATACGTAGTATTAAGTTGAACAAACAGTAGCTGATTTTAATCTGGTAATGAAATATTGCACTCGCCTAAACAAAATACCTGCGTATTGATTTTTGTGATTATTTCTACATCATGGCGATCGAAAAATAACAATAAAACTAAAATAAGATATAAAAAAATGGATTTTCCATGAAAAAAACCCAAAAAACTAAATTGAAGAGGTATTTTGGCGTACTGTATAACAAACAATTTAAATGACATAAAGGAACCTACGTTGTGTTACTAGGTATACCGGGTGTTGCATCGTCGAGCGGGACATAGGAAATCCCATGTAAATTTTAATGGGGTCAATTATTGGCTTCCCTATATATTTTAGAGAATAATTCTATTTAGGTTTATTGAAGAGCACTAAAACCCACATTCAAAAGAACAACTTTAGATATTTTTGATTAGCCCGTTTACGAGTTATCGCTGATTTCTTTTTAAATATTTCTCCTTTCCTATGGCCCTGTATTTACTTATGAGCACCAGTCAAGGTAAAAGATAACTGTCAAATGAAGTTGTCATTTCAGAAATTTATCTATTTAGTGCTTTATTATTATTATTAAAAACTCATACCTACATCGAAAATATTAGCCATGAATTAAACTACCGAAGAAAAAGTATTGATGATTAAATGGTATTATCAAGGAAATAGTTATCAAAAGGTGTCGGACATGTTTGCTGTTCTGTATCCGAATAGACCGATAACTGAAAAATCTACAATCGCAAGGAATATCCAGAGATTTGAGACCAAAGGTACCCTAATAAATAACTGCAGATGTGAAGCAAGGCAGGAACAAAGATAAGATGCAAGAAATGAACCGACTTGAAAGTTTTATTGTGCGTGGAAGAGAACGATGGAAAGATCAGCACAAAGAAACTTGAGGATGAAATAGGAATAGATCACACTACAGCGTTTCGTATTTTGAAACGACATAAATACTATTCCTTCAAATATGAAAAGCACCAAGAGCTACGAGATGAGGACGAAATACGGCGACAGGCGTTTTGTTTTGATATGATGGAAAGAGCAAACACTGATAGGGAATTTTTAAAAAAACATATGTTTCACTGACGAATGCACGTTTACCTTAAATAATGAACCCAATGTTCAAAATTATCGATATGGGAACAAAGAAAACCAACACAGGTTAGTCGAAACAAGGACGCAATATCCACAGAAAGTAAATGTTTGGGCAGGGATATTCGGACACAATATTATCGGGCCATTATTTCTTACGCGAAATTTAAATGCAGAATATTATTTGGAACTACTCGAAAATCATATTTTACCTGCTTTACATGATGCCGCTAGGGAAAATCAGGAAGTTTGGTACCAAATGGATGGCTGCCCGGCACATAGTACCCTGGCTGTTCGGGAATATTTAGACAATAGTTTTAACGGAAACGTTATTGGCCTAAATCATACAGTAAATTGGCCAGCAAGGTCTCCTGATATTTCGCCAAATGATTTCTTTCTCTGGGGCCATTTAAAAAACAGGTAGATCAAGGATATACAAGGATCAAAAATACCCAAATCGAGACGAGTTAAAAATTCTATTTCTGCCGAATGCAATAGAATTTCAGTTTACCAACTAGCGAATGTAAGAAGAGAATTTTATGATCGCCTGGGTTATTGTCTAGCAGTCGATGGAGGAATATTTGAACATCTTCTTAAATCCTAAAGTTCTAACAATTTAATAGTACCTAAATTAATAAGTTATTGAATATTGTAATAATATTATAATTAACCTTGTAATTGATTACTTTATTTTACTTTAATTCATATTAATTTGTATTTATAAATACATCTTTAAGATTTCCGATGTTGGAATGAGTTTTCAATAATAATAAAGCACTAAATAGGCAAATTTCTGAAATGATAACTTCATTTGACAGTTATCTTTTACCTTGACTGGTGCTCATAAGTAAATATAGGGCCATAAGAAAGGAGAAATATTTAAAAAGAAATCGGCCATAACTCGTAAACGAGCTAATCAAAAATATCTAAAGTTATTCTTTTGAATGTGGGTTTTAATGCTCTTCAATAAACCTAAATAGAATTATTCTCTAAAATAATTAGGGAAGCCAATAATTGACCCCATTAAAATTTACATGGGATTTTCTATGTCCCGTCCGACGATGCAACACCCGGTATACGTGTGAATTAAAAAGCGAAATATACTAACTGGCATGGAAAATTCAACATCTATGGAAAGTACTTTAATTTTCTTTGAATAGTGGTGAAATACGGTGCTCTTCGTTTAGTTTGAAATGGTTATCAAGATATTTGCGTTTAAAGATTACGATGCATTGATTTTAGCATTAGAGAAATGGTAAAATGTAAAGAAATCTTATATACGATTAATATAGGAAATCTGCCCCCGCGGCTTTTTTGACTCGCACTCAGGGGATCGATTTGATGTCGAATCAAAATAATTCACCTAAATTTTTACCTGTTTAGCTCAAACGGTTTTCGAGATTTAAAAAAAAACTGTTTTTCCAATTTTATTTATATTTTTATAGTAAAATTCAAAATTAATTAATGATGATTTAATTATTAGAAAGACATAATATGAAATAATATAAAAAATAATATGATCATGATTCTTAAGTAGTATACACTTATGCTTCCACTTAGTATATTTCGTTTTATAATTCACCATTGTCTATAACTTTAGAACTAAAAATAATTTATTATACTCTGTTATTTTCGTGAAACACAGTACTCCTATCCTTCCTACTGTACTTCTTTTGTCCTTCCCACTAACAAATATCATTTGATAAAGCGCTCAGCGCTTAATATGCGGCGCAGTAATTGCACATTAGAAGTTTTACGGATACTCTAAACTTTGTGGAAATTAATTCCCAACTACCATATTATGTATATTCAGCTCAAATTTCTATTAGTACATTCTGTATTCGTTCGAATTTAGAGGGAAATTGTTATTTATTAGTTCTCTACATTGCGATATAAAGTTTTACAGTAAAGGTAACGGACAAAAGAGCGTAGAAAAGGTAATTACGTAAAATTATTAATAAATATTATACAGGGTGGTCCGAATTGTTAACGTGAAACTTCAGCAATATATTCTGCAAATAAAAATAAATAAAATGTATGTCTTAATTTGCTTCCTTCTTCATATATTATAAGGGCGGTCCGAACTGTATTCCGAAAACTTCGGCACCATATTCCGATAAAAATAAGTAAACAAGTTCGTATAAATGTATGTCCTAAAGTGCTTAGTTTCGGAGATACAGGGTGTAGAAGTTTCATTTTTATTTCGATTTTTTCAAATAATTTCTGAAGTAAGGTCGATATTTGGATGAAAATTGGTGTCTGGGAGTTTTTTGATATGAGAAATCTGATTTTGATGTTAGTATTACTCCTATTTGTTGAGGGCGCCATCTACATATTTTTTAACTGGTTTGGAGAGTAATAACTTTTCGCCCGTACCTGTATAAAACTACTGAGTGAAAAAATACATTTCCGTGACTTTTTTATGTAAAAAATGTCTCTTGATAAAAATCGCTACGAGCAACCGTTCTCAAGATATTTAGAATGGAAATAGTCAATACATGTCATTATTGACAAAAATACCTTCACGTTGTAAAATCACGTTGAGTAGGTAGTTATTTGAATGAAATAATAATTTTGGGAAATTTTTATTTTTTTAAATTAATCATAAATTTTTTGACGAAAAAATTATGATATAACAGTTTCTGTTGAACTTTTGGCACTATTTCGAGAATCATTACTCGTAGCGATTTTTACCAAGAGATCTTTTTTACGTAAAAAACGTCGTAAATTTATATTTTTTTACTCAGTAGTTTTATACAAGCACGAACGAAAAGTTATTACTCTCCAAACCAGTTAAAAAATATGTAGATGGCGCCGTTTAGGAGTCATATTGACATCAAAATCAAATTTCGCATGTCAAAAAACTCCCAGATACCAATTTTCATCCAAATATTGACGTTATTTCAGAAATTATTTGGAAAAAAATCTAAATAAAAATGAAACTTCTACACCCTGTATCACCGAAACTAAACATTTTAGGACATACATTCATACGAACTTTTTTGCTTATTTTCATCTGGAGAATATGCTGCCGAAGTTTCCGGAATACAGTTCGGACCACCCGGTATACTTCTACATGTTATTTTTATGAACAAGAAAGAAATAGTGAGGGAAATGTGTAAAAAAGAAGAAAAAGATTAAACGGCTCAGCCCTCAACAACTCGTAACCGTATACACCAGTGTACACCAGTGTAGACACGTATACTCACATAACCACACCTACACTAGTGTACACTGATGTAACTGCCTTCAGGCTTCATCAGTACGATAAGGAATCAGGAAGCGATGAAGCCGATCCCAAAACACAAAAAACCAGGAAGCAAACGATGCAACGAGGCACCGTGTGCAACTCAGGAGATGGAAAAAAAATGATGAAGAAACGAAAATAAATGATGGAATAAAAGGAGCGAACGGGAGCCTAAAGCCCCAATTTGCAGCCAAGAACCAGAGTCGGCCAGGATTGCGGGCTTCGTCCAGAACAGCCGCGGAGGAAGCCAACAGCAACCCGCCGCAATACCCTTAGCCGTGGTACCAATATGAACAAGAAAGAAATAGTGAGGGAAATGTATAAGAAAGAAGAAAAAGATTAAACGGCTCAGCCCTCAACAACTCGTAACCGTATACACCAGTGTACACCAGTGCAGACACGCACACTCACACAACCACACCTACACTAGTGTACACTGATGTAACTGCCTTCAGGCTTCATCAGTACGATAAGGAATCAGGAAGCGATGAAACCGATCCCAAAACACAAAAAACCAGGAAGCAAACGATGCAACGAGGCACCGTGTGCAACTCAGGAGATGGAAAAAAATGATGAAGAAACGAAAATAAATGATGGAATAAAAGGAGCAAACGGGAGCCTAAAGCCCCAATTTGCAGCCAAGAACCAGAGTCGCCCAGGATTGCAGGCTTCCTCCAGAACAGCCGCGGAGGTAGCCAACAGCAACCCGCCGCAATACCCTTAGCCGTGGTATCAATATGAACAAGAAAGAAATAGTGAGGGAAATGTATAAAAAAGAAAAAAAAAGATTAAACGGCTCAGCCCTCAACAACTCGTAACCACACCTACACTAGTATGTTATTTTTATATGTAGTATTACCCACAAAAAATATATACACTATTTTCTTGAGATCCTGTATACAAAACATAAGGTAACTTTTTTACTTATTCTTTCAGAGTTATAAATGGAAATTCAACAACTCGGGAGAAACTCTGGAACTGGAACAGGAACGATTTTCCAGAACGAGTAACGGCAGCGTCAGTATACTCAAGTACACCCCCATAACGGAGCTGGATTATGGATCTTTATCTTGTTGGGCCACGAACATCGTAGGAAGCCAAATTAATCCGTGTGTCTTTCAAGTCGTTGCTGCGGGTTTGTATTAAGTATTATTTTTAAAGTATATTAATTTAAATATACAGTATTACAGATAAAATAAGCATCTTATGTGATTTTTTTTTATTTTGAGTCAAGTGGTGTAAAAATGAGACATTTCTCACAGAAAACTTAAGGGTGTATTCCGTTGCTTACCTTGGTTATGGTTTTTATGTTCCGTTTCTATCGGTTTCCTGAAAGTTTTCTTATTACGGAACACGGTTCCTGAAAAATTCGGTTGTAACTGTCACCAAACTAACGAGCGCGAGCAGGCTGGTTTTTTCTGGTTTTGTTTGTGAATCAATATCATTTATGTGAGACAAATCAAGCAAATATTGGAGGTTCGAGTGAAATTCTCATTTAATTCTAAAATTTGTTATAGTATTTCGTATTTACATTCAAAAGCAATGGAGGTAGGCAATAAAGGTAAATAAATTTCATTAACTAAATAGAATGACTTTTTAGGACCGTTTCAACTTATCATGCAGCCATTGTTTCTTAAAGTCAGTAACATTTAAAGAAAACATGAAAAACAAGACAACAAATAATCGTGAATGTTTTGTAAGCTATAAAAATATAAATATTGATTAGATTTGTTTATTTTTTATTGATCTGTTTTAATATTTGACATGCAAATCTTCACTTAAGCTGTGTAACGAGTTTAACAGTTTATTAATAAAATACTTTTGAATATTAAACTCCATTGAAAAGAAAAAGCAAACGTAAAAGCGGAGAATAGGTACATTAAAAATGCATAAAAGATAACTTTTATAATAAAGGTATTAAAATTTAGAAAACGTCATCATTTGACGTTTCCAATATTTTACCAAACCGTTCCGTATCAAACCGATGTTTTTCAGGAACCGCCCTTTACCGTAGTTTACCGGTCTGGTTCGCCTGGTTTTGCAACGGAATACAGCCTAAGTCTTTTTTTTTATTTAAATCACTTTAATGACTTAAGTCATTTGATTTTAAGTCATTTTTCGAAAGCTGACTTAAGACTTAAAATTTAAGTCTTTTTCAAAATGATTTGTAATTTAAATTTTTATTCCGAAACAGAAAAAGATTTAAGTCTTATTAGAAGACTTAAGTCGTTAAAAAGATTTAAATCTTTTTATGAAGGACTTAAGTCATTAAAAAGATTTAAGTATTTTTATAAAAGGCTTAAGTCAGATTTTTATATATTTTTCTGAGAAATTCAAAACAGCAGAATACAACAACAACAAACAAATAACGCTTTATTTTGCAAAAAGCCAAAATAGCTTCATCGACAAAGCATTTACAAAACAAACAAAAGCACAAAAAATATACAAATAATAAAAAATATACAATACAAATCATACAATTTAAAAAAAAATTTAAGTCATTAAAATTACAAATAGAACATACGTGGACAATTGCAGAATACAAAAAAAGGCGTATCAATGAAATGGTACAATAGGAAGATTGTAAATAGATATAATTTTAAGAGTTATAAAATATTAAATACTTGACCTTTGATCAGTGTGTGAGATGATCAAAATTTTAAAATTCAAAATTGTTCATGATTAAACATCAACAAAAAAGTCCTATACTGCATATAGGGCCCTCTCCAGTAAGTGTGATTTCAGAGCTTTGCGAAATGCGGGAAAGAATTAAAGCGACTTGATATTCAAAGGCAGATGATTGTACATTTTTTTGGCATTGTACAGTATTGAACCTTTAACTAGTTCTGAGCTCGGGATTGACAGATAATATATACATATATTTTCTGTGTCCTAAGTGACTACAAATAGAGCATACCTAGAAAGTTCATTGCAAACGCTTCTTTGCATGGGTTGCGACTGGGTTGTCACTTAGTAAACGGAGTTGCAGGTTTCGAGTCCGTTTCCTATGCGATTAACGCAATCGGTTGCGCTAGTCGTATAGGAAACGGAAAAATGCATCCGGGGACATACTGTAGATCAAAAATGAGATACTGTTTTCTTCATACTGCCTTTATTAGGGGTACTTTTGGTATATTTTTACTTTTACAATACATAGTTTCCTTAACACCAAATTCTGTTTATAGAGCAGAAATTCTTTTGTATTTAAATGGTTGTATGTAAGAAAAAAGAACTAAAAGTTCTAAATGTCTTATTTTTACACCACTTGACCATATAATTTCTTCATTTCTTTTTTTCAGGAAAACCATTCCCTGTCAAAAACTGCACCCTAACCAACCAAACAAGCAGTTCCATCGAAGTCTACTGCTTGGCTGGTTTCGACGGAGGTTTACCCCAACATTTCGTCTTAGAGCTCTACTCTACCAAGTCTGCACTGCCCAGATACAACATCACTTCCTACTCTGAACCGTATTTCTTTTTGGACAACCTCGAACCTGACGTCACGTTCAGGATTGTCGTTTTTGCTGTCAATTCTAAAGGGAAGAGTGGCGGTCTTGTGTTGGAAGAGATAACATTTCGGGATGCTGAAAAAAGAACTGGTACGTATAGTTTCATTTTTTTTTGTGTTAAAGCATTTGAAATTAAACATAAGAGTGCTTTTGTGCATATTTCGCTTATCCTTAAATTTATTTCTTCTAGCCACAGAAAAGGATATGAAAATATCGCCAGTGCTTGGCGTGCTTATGGGAGCCACCGTCACAATCACCATAGTGATCGTTGCTATCGTAGTGCACGTGAGGAAACGAAAAAATCGTCCGGAGGTGGCTCTGGAAGAAAAAATATCTGGAATACCTAGTCACTGCAACACCATGTCGTCTACTAAACCTTTGTTGAGGAGTGCGTCTCCTAGGGATACTGATGAAAAGGATCCTGATGTAATACCAGCAAAATATGGTAAGTTTCCTTCTATGGTATATCTCCTGATGCCATGAAAAGCAAAAAAAAACACAAAGGACAAGGAAAAAAAGTAAATTAAAAAATGGTTCAACTAGTTCTTCCCACTTTATTCAGGTGTGGTTTCGAGGTTTTTTTGCGAAAAACATTTGTTGAAAATTTTAAATTTGTCTTCACATTTTCCGGGAATTTTTAAAAACCATTTAGTGTCACTTGTTTATTCACCTTAAAAGATTTCTTTACAGTTATATCATATATTTCTTTTGAGATCTAACACCCCTTAAAATATCTGCACTTATTTCTTGGACACTCTGTATATTTGAATATTTAACTTTAGTAGAAAAGTTTCTTTACCTTTGTCCGATAGTGTACAGGGTGGGTTTAATTGGACGCTTTTAAAGGGAAACGCCCTTTTCTATAGGAGATAGACGAAAACTAATATCGGTGTCTGGAGCTCTTTAACTCAAACCGTTCTCCAGATTCTCAAAAAAACCTGTTTTTTCAATTTTATTTATTATTATTTTTGTAGTAAAATACAAAATTAATTAATGATGATTTTTTTTGTAATTTTTAGAAGTCTAAGACATGAAAAAATAATATAATCATGATTCTTAAACGAAAAGCCGATTTTTAGGGGAGGAAAAAAAATTAAAATCTTCATTTTTTTAACCTTCGTGAAATATGTCACTCACTAAAAGTCGTCAGAAAATTTCTTTTATACCCCTTTACACTCAGTAAATTTTTAGAATTTTTTGAAGTGGTGGAACAATATAAAAAAAATTGAAAACTCATTTTTTTCTAGAATCTTCTGTTTTAACTAACTTATATTTTTGTTTAGTTTCAAAAAGTGCGTAGAAAATGTTTTTTCATTAAAAATACATCCTTGCCAGAAATAAACATAAATATTGTTATAAAAAAATGAAGATATATTATTATTTATTCAGCTTGACGCGAATTTTTCAAAAACTCAGTCTTTACGTAATAAGTATAAGCAATGTCATTGTGAATTTGAAGTAAAAAAATATTTTCTACGCACTTTTCTAAACTAAAAAAATATAAGTTAGTTAAAACTAGGGAATGCAATCCCGCAAATGCTGGATCCCGCAAATGCGGGATCCCTCTGAGATTTCGCGGGATCAAAGTTGCGGGTTTTACCGTGCGGGATCCGTGGGATCGACACATTACTAACCGAAATATCGATATCGATCAAGGTTAAACCGCTTCGTTTCGGGCCGTGCGTGGACGCTCGGAACCCGGGGGATTCCCCTTACGGCTTGGCCATTAAAAATAAGTGAAACAAACAGGTTAGCACAGCAGGTTAGTTATTAGATTTCTTTCTGGCGTATGTGCGTAAGTGAAGAAAAGCGTTTAACTAGTACTTGTGAACAATTTCGTCAAATAAACTGCCGGACATAATTATCGGGACAAGCAAAATTTTAGGGTAAATTTAAAGTTGAATATCTCTTGAACTAAAAAAGATTTTGGGATGCGGTTTGGACCAGGTTTTAGATGCATCTATTGTGATTAAGATGCTATGTGGTTTTCGAAAATCTATTTAGCGAATTCTCGTATACAGGGTGTTTTATAAGAGTATGCAAATTTGGTCAAGAAACTTTTTTACCGCAAATTTACAATTTTTAAAAAATCGAAATTTTTACCAAGTACGACTAATATCTATTGAAATTAGAAAAAACAATTTGATCGGTTTTTTAATTTTTTTTGTTTTAAGGAAAATACGACGTTTTTTTCGAAAAATACGCATTTTTAGTCATACGTATTGTCCTAAATGGTACAAAAAGCTTTGTACATTCTGCATATGCCAAAAAATTATTGATATAGAGTGTATCTAAAAGCAGATAACTAACACAAGTTAAAAAAAACTTCAACGTCAGAATAATATTTTTATTTATAAAATATGTAGATAAATTATAATAAAATTTAAGTTTCTTTAATATTAAATATAGTTTTTGAACACCCTGTATACATCGGTCCAAATTTCTGTACAGCTAGTTTAAGATACACGCTATATCAATATATTGTGGGCCTATGCAAAATGTGCAATGCCTTTTGTACCATTTAGGACCAAATGTATGACTACTGTTTACAGTCCCGCAATTTTGCGGATCCGCGGGATTGATTGCTTTAATCCCGCGGGTTTGCGGGATTGAGATTTTGGTGCGGGATTGCATTCCCTAGTTAAAACAGATCTCCTTTTTTGATGGCGAAAACCGCACGTCGATATCTGTTACCGTTTTTGAGTTACGGGGTGTTTTTCAAAAATGTGCATTATTAACAAATCGCGCCATAACTTTTTTGCTATGGAAAATTTTGTATTTTGGTGAAAACATTTCCAAAGCACTTTTTTACGTAGAATTTAATGGTTTAAGAATATTTTTTTTACATTAATAATTTAAAAGTTATCAACAGAAAAATTGATTTTTTATATGGGACACCCTGTATATTTTTAATTAAAGAACTTAAAATTACCTTTTCAAAAATATAGCACACTTGATATTTTGTTATAGTCCCCTTCTATATACAGAATTTTTATAAGTTCGCGACTTTTAACTAGTAGGCTTTGGACCCCTTATCGATGATCTGCCCCTAATGGAAGTCGAAAACATATTTCTTTCCAGCAAGACGAGGCACTGCCTCAGAACGCTAAAGTTATGAGCAAATTATTGCAGCCAATTTAGAGAATAATAATTGAATAGCTAACCAAGATCCCAGTCGTTGGCCGTCGAGGCCGCCGGACTTAGTGCTTGTTATCCTTAGTGGATTTTTATCTTCGCGGAAGAATAAAGGTTCTTATTTTAAAATTTCCCGTATAATCTAGATAAGAATTAGGAGTACGTCGGGGTTATGAATGAATTCCGCGAGAAATGTTCAAAAATGGTCCGGTCTGTCCATAACAGAAGACGGAGTCGGCATGTCGATTACCTGTAGAAAAATCTCATATCTTTGTTTGCTATTATTTTTTTTAAATGTGTTGATGTTGTTGAATATAATTTAAATTGTTATAAAATTTTGCATCTCTCATTGCAAATATTATTTTCGTTTTAATTGCTGTTCACAGCTAGATTTTTTTGCATTACAGCCGGCGTCGTTCATAGCCTACTTATTCAAAGTGGGCGAATTTTAAAAAACTCTATATCTCGAAGAGGAATCGAGCAAAATATCAAGTATGCTATAATTTTGGAAAGGAAATTTTAAATTATTTTCAATTAATTGAAAATATACAGGGTGTCCCATTTATAAAATCAAGGTTTCTGTTAGTTAAATTATTAATTTTAAAAAAATTATACTTAAACCATTAAATTCTACGTAAAAAGATGCTTTAAAAATGTTTTCACAAAAATACAAAGTTTTCCATAGCAACAAAGTTACAGCGATTTATTAAAAATGGACATTTTTGAAAAACTCCCTGTAACCCCGAAACGGTAACAGATATCGATGTGCGAATTTGACCCACCCTGTATAACTAAAAACGATTATTTCTGTAACAATAGTGTGTTATTTCCATAAATATGAAGTTAATAATCCTCAAATTTTCAAGTATGCCAGCCTAACATGTTCGGCATTCTTCATGTAGGAATCATCAAAAGAATTTGCGGGATTTGAATAGTTCTCCAGAAATTGATACTACCGCTCGAAATATTTGAAATTATTGAAATGTAATAGATAAGAAAAATAATTGGGAATGAGAATAGCTAACTATTTTGCGTATCTATTTGTTTATAAATATCAGATAACTAAGTAAATCAATCAATGCATCATTAGGAAAAAAAAGATATGTACTACGTGAGAAAATTTGATAATTATTTATAATGAATTTCCGATAGAAAATTAAGAAAGTATCTGCAAATATAACGAATATTTATCAAAATGAAAATGCTATTTTATGAAGGAAATCTAAATGTTGAAATTTTTGGACAAAATGTTGTTATTTTAAAAAAGCAGAAAGTTCAAATATTCCATATAAATAAAACATTATTTTACAATTCTCTCAACATAAAACAAAAATTAAATTGAACTATTTTCTTGAAAAAAATATATACAAGGTGTCAAAAAATAGTGTTTTTATTGTTTTTTTACGATGAATTTTTCAGCGGAAAAAATGATGATAAAACAGGTTCTGTTGAACTTTTGCCTCAAAACATTTCAAATTTATGATTTCAGCCAAACAACTATTTAGTCAGCATGGTTAATTTATGTCAATGATGACAGGTATTGATAATTTCGATTCCAAATATCTCGAGAACCATTACCCGTAACGATTTTTCCCAAGAGATCTATTTTACGTAAAAAATGTCGTAAATGTATATTTTTTTACTCAGTAGTTCTATACAGGTGTGGACAAAAGAAAAAAAAATTATTACTCTACAAACCAGTTAATAAATATGTAGGTGGCGCCCTCTACAAGTAGAAGTCATATTGACATCAAAATCAAATTTCTCATGTTAAAAAACTCAGACCAAATATTTACGTTACTTCATAAATTATTTGGAAAAAATCGAAATAAAAATGAAATTTCTACACCCTGTATCTCCGAAACTAAACATTTTAGGACATACATTTATAGGAACTTTTTCACTTATTTTTATCTGCAGAATATGCCGCCGAAGTTTCCGGAATACAGTTCGGACCACCCTGTATAGTCATAATATTCGTTTATCTTACCAATGCCTATCAATATTCTGTAAATCAAGTTGAAGTACCCGTCTCTGATTTTGAAATACATAAGACCGTTCTCGAACAAATTATTTGCTCATTACCATTTACTAAAAATGCGTTTTTAAAATACTTATCTGTATGTTTGTATATGTCTGGGCGAATTTTTGAAACTTCTCAACAGATTATGTCGAGACATTAATTAGCATTAACGCTGTAATGAAATACTTAAACCCTGCAATAAGTTTAATATTCTTGGAATATCATAATTATAGTCCTTATCTCGTAATTTTAACCTATATGACTGAGCAAAATCCATTTAATCAATCAAAGATGTATGTATTTTTATAGAAAGAGATTAGTATGCAAAAAAGAGAGCAGTACTAAATTCAAATTATTTAATAAAAAATATAATTATAATTGTTTAAAAATTATTGAACTGAAGTCTTGGTCTCAGAACTGTGTTGCAACTCTACGTCAGCTCAAAAGAACGAATAAAAGTTTCGTACTAAATACTCTGTTTTTGTGCAACCTCGTTCCATTTGAAAAATTTGAGATATGATTAGATATGATTAAAAATACGATTTAGGCATCTTTTAACCGGCCAGAACAAGACACTAAAAACATCCCAAGTAGCAAAAAGAAATTCTAAAAGGATTGAATAATTTTATAACAGTCGAATAGCGTTGTCCTAAGGACTGCTTGATTTTATTAAGCGTTTGGTTTCGACCATTCTGTTTTTTAATAAAAGTTGTCATATTAAACTATTTTCTAGTGGTTTTTACAACGTATCCTATAACGCATTAAACGATAATTTCTTTTAGTATGATATAACACTTAATAAGATAATGCTATATGATAACAAACATATTATTTTATTAGACTCTTATACCCACCATGTAAGAGTTCTATAATATTCATATAACTAGTAGTCACAAGATCATATAATAGTTACTTAAACATGTCTTATTAAAGTTGTATTACGTTGTATGATAGAACGTTTTATTGCGTTAAACTTCGATGCTGTATACAACACAGTTATATAGTCTTGTATGATAAAATTGTGATTAACACAATAAATTCGCTGTAATATCTGCATTATAAAACTGGTAATGTATAATATAACCTCATTTTAATTTAAATGGTATATCTAGTTATTTATTTTGTTATTGTTGTTGTTGCAAATGTAATATCTACGTACGAGTGTAATCAATCACAGCTATTATGAATTCTGGACAAAGTTGGAAAAAACTTAACAAACGCAGTGGTAGTTATAAAGAGCATGTAAGAAAAAACTCCTCGAAATTACGGCAAATAATCCCGAGAATTCCCTGGGTTCTCAAAAGCCAAAATCTCCCGGGTTGTCTGGCTTCTTCAAAGCATTGTTGCCACGTTGGTGTAAAAGTTTTACTGTAGTAATGTTTGTATTGTTTTATTGTTGTTTTTCCAAGTCCTTAGGTTGCCGCTCACTCGTCGGGCACGCATGAAATGCACGTGCATGAATCCATGAAAATCTGATCATGTTTGTTTGTTTAAATACTAATCAAATGAGATTTGGCAACATCTATTTGTCACAAATCTCAATATGTCCAAAATAGTTCTATAGTGCTTGGAAATTCTGCGTAATGATAGATATTTATCCTATACCGTTTTATTTTACAACAAAGACTTATTTAAGGGATTCATTTATAATAAAATGGTTGCATTATAATTCGCCATGTTTAAGGCAGAATTTTTGTATGGCCTATGGCCGCCATTATATGAAGCAAAATTAAAAACATCAAAATACATTGTAAAATGTTATTTTTGAGAACTATTTTGTGATAAGATTCCCACATACACTAAAACAGTGTTTAATTAAATTAAAAACAAGAATTTTTGAAAATATTATTTTATTTTATTGTTTAAATTTATATGTAAACCTTAATCGAAATTAAAGCGATTTAATTTTGTGCCAAATACATACCTATAATCTACCAGTAAAATTTTCGGCGCAACAAAAATTGTCCCTACTTTTCAAACCCTATTAATGATTTTTTATATTACATATTTGTTGTACCTTCTGGCTCTACCCGCCATTTTCATTGTCGAGTAAAGTCTCCTTTTTAACAATCCACATCCTCTAGATTCATTCTATGACACGCTTAAAATATAATTTGCTCCTAATATTCTTCGGTAAAAATAAAATACTCTTGTACCTCGCTAAATGATCAAATGTTTTTATTGTTCTGTTTCTTAGATGTGACCACATAATACACAATAAAACTAGTTTTATAATAGTCATATAATGCTGTGTAAAATAGTTGCATAAGAGTTGTATACCCTTTTTATAGAACTTCTATACTACTAAACGGTTGTATAAAAATGGGCCTTTTTTGGTTGTAAAGCTATCATATTACGGTCATATACCACGTTATATGAATTGAGGTATCCTATAAAAATTATCACATAGCTGTTTATACAACCTTTATAAAATAAAATTTGCTACTTGGGATTAGACGATCAGATCTATTTTTCCAAGGCTCCTTGATTAAAAATTCGTGTTTTTAACACAGCCTGACACTCTAGGTTAAAACTTAAAGTACAACTTTATTTTATGCGAAAATATCAAAAGTTGACATATGACAATATGTCATTCTATTCAGAGTGTCATTTTCTATCAAATATAGTAAAAAAATACCGAGGGTGCCATTTAAAAATCAAAAGTTGTAGTCATGTCCGGTGAAACAGAAATTGACCGAAAACAATTGAATATGTCAATCAGTCCCAATTAATGTCATGGAATTAAATCATCCAGTCATTTGTATGTCAAAATGAGCATTTTGATGCATGTATGGCGTGTATCAAATATAATATCAGAGATATTTTGAAAAAAAAATTGAAAATTTTACCACCACCTGAAAAGTTAAGATGCTTAGGATATATGTATATTCATATAAAGTTTATTTCTTAGAATAGGCCCAAGAATCACCTCCTTAAATATTAGCATGTCATTAAGGAACACCCTGTATATGTCATCAATTTATTTTAGAATAAATTTGTAGTTATTTTATTTATATGTTTTTTAATTTTATCTTCTAGGGGCAGCTGAAACGGATGACCACAGTGCTCTGGCAGCACTCAACTCATCTTCGCACATACCTCTGCATAGCGAACTCAGCTATCACGCAGAGACAGCCAGTTCTAATGTCCAATGGGGTGGATCTCCCAGTCTGATATCATTAAAACAAGTCTCAGAGGTAAATAATTGATATAAATTTGTCTGGAATGCAACAAATCAAAAGCAAATTCGCTTCGCTATCTTTAGCTGAATTATTATTGTGCTAAAAATTGTATTAGTCACGACCATGACCAAGTAAAATATTTTTAATGTGTTTTTGATGTTAGTTAAAATGTGTCCAGGTGTGTAAAATATTCTACAAAATGTAAATAAGTTGTTATGATTTTTTCTCATAAAAGTTTCTTTTTTTGATAAGAACAATGAAAAAATATGTCCTAACTTCATAAGATTTCTAATTTTTTTATCGTTACACAAGAGTTACAAATCATATATACAGAGTGTCCCAATATTCCGTGGACATAGAACTTTTTTTTTGACTTTCACAAAAATCAAGAAAAAGTCGGGTGAAAATTACCCCCACCCCTCCATGTATTTTAGTGCAAATATTTTTCACCGACGACAGATTATCTTTTCGTAAAATGGTCCCTCTAGTGTTCACTACATTTTTGTCTCTTGTAAAAAACGCCACATTGCATAATTTTTGCGAAAAAAAAATTTGGAGAATTTATTTTTCCAAAGTAGACCTACAAAATATACAGGGAGTTCCAGTATTCCGTGGAGATAGAAGAACTTCGTATTTTTTCAATCAAAATAATATACAGGGTGTTTCAAAACAAATGCGAAAAACTTTAGGGGGTGATTCCTTGTTCAAAATAAAGGGTAGTTTGCTTTATAAATGTTGGGTCAAAAGTCAACCATTAGGGAGATATCGCGGTACAAAGATGGCGGGAAAATAATGTTTTTATTTTTTATCTTGAAAACGAAAAGAGATAGACTAATGAAATTTTATGGAAGCATTACTGTTATGAAAACACACTTTCAGGTAATTTTTTCACTTTTTTAAAATGAGTGGAAGGGGTTGAAATAAACTACCCCTATCATTCTTGTTAACAAAATTTAAAGAAAAATCTTATCAAACACATGCAAAAAAATTAATTTGGATAGTTTAGTTTGTTTAGAAACTTTTTTATCTCTTGTGTTTTTTTGATAAAACTCACCGATTTGAAGTTAAAAAATAAAATGTAAAGCATTACATGTCAGGACAAAAAACATTTTTAGATTAAGAATCTAGTGATAATAACGATAATAATAATCATCTAGATAATAACGTATTGCAGTAGAGTAATGTCAAATAAAATAATATTAGGAACATCCTAAAAAGTAACAGCGGCCGACTAGATTTTTTCCTAAAAAAATTACAGCAGCCCACTAGATTCTTTATCAGAAAAGGTTTTTTGTCCTGACATGTAATGCTTTACATTTTATTTTTTAATTTCAAATCGGTGAGTTTTATCAAAAAAATACAAGAGATAAAAAAGTTTTTAAACAAACTAAACTATCCAAATTAATTTTTTTGCATGTGTTTGATAAGATTTTTCTTTAAATTTCGTTAACAAGAATGAATGGGGTAGTTTATTTCAACACCTTCCACTCATTTTAAAAAAGTGAAAAAATTACCAGAAAGTGTGCTTTCACAACAGTAATGCTTCCATAAAATTTTATTAGTCTATCTCTTTTCGTTTTCAAGATAAAAAATAAAAACATTATTTTTCCGCCATCTTTGTACCGCGATATCTCCCTAATGGTTGACTTTTGACCCAACGTTTATGAAGCAAACTACCCTTTATTTTGAACAAGGAATCACCCCCTGAAGTTTTTCGCATTTGTTTTGAAACACCCTGTATAGCGCCTACATAGCTTTGATTTGACAAAGAACATTTTTTTGTAAATAAGCTTCGGAAAAATATTTTTTTCCTCAAAAAGTATACGCGGTGGCGTTCTTTACAAGAGACAAAAAATTTAATAAATAGTAGAAGGGTCATTTTAGGGAAAAAAAACATCGGTTATCGGTCGAGTTAGAAAATAATTATACTAAAATTTATGTAGGAGTATTTTTTCTTAATTTCTGCGAGAGTCAACTTTTAAAGCACTTAGCAAAACATAGACCTCCGAAATTTCATTCAAATCGGAATAACGGTTCCTAAAATATCTGAAAAAATGTGTTTATTTTTTTAATGTTTGATGCCCTCTAACGGCTAAACGAAGAACTTTTGTATAGAGGTAAATTGTTTCCAATAAACTTATTTTGATTCCAAAAATACGTAGTAGTCCTATGTCCACGGAATATTGAAATACCCTATATACAGGAATGAAAATGAAGTAAGGAATTTTTATTTGGGCACTTTGTAGAGTGAGCAACTGACAACTGAAGACATTTTGTAACATGAAATTGTTGCCTCGTATTTGCTAGAGAAAATACAGGGTTTCAAAGAAATAATGGATATTTTTCTTTATATTTCATACTGTATTCATACGAATTTTTGTTTATTAGAAAATTAATTTGGTAGTACTTTCGACGGCTTTTATAACGCCAACTTTTATTGTTTTCTCTACAAAACCAATATATAATCAACTTAATGATAAATAATTCGTTTTTTGCAATCTTGTTGGCAATTACTGTTGTAGACATTAGAGGCTTTTCAAATATCTCTGATTATGAAAATAATCTTCTATTAAGATAGATATGAAACTTAATAGTAAAATTTTGGGTCAAAGCGCCCCTCCGTGTTCTTAGTAGAGACTACGTTTAACCCAGCGCCTTCGCCTTTTCTGCTGTAAAAAATTTTTTATGTTTATATTTGATTTCAAAGGATTTAGTTTTAAAGTTACACTGATATATTAGTATATCAGAGTAACTTTAATAAAACATAAGAATATATATATTTTACAGTTTATTAAATATAAATTTTGACTACAAGGTAGAAAGTAAATCACAATATTTGATAAAACTTATAAGTATACCATTTTTACAGTTAATAAATAATAAAACTATTTCTGACTATGATATTTAAAATTTAGATAGATAGAATATTAAAAAACATACCGGTATTTGCAGACGCAGGCCCAAATTCAATAAAAACCAAAATTTTTCCTGCGAAAATCGAGCTTTTTTCACAGAAAATTTATTTTTTGATTTATCAACAATCATTGTCAAGTTGACAATATACAGGGTGTTTTCTAATTAGTCTAAAAAATTGTGGTGTGATTCCTCATGGATTCTTAAAACACTTTTTATATAACCATTGGGTCTAAATTACTTCCTTTCTGATCTACAGGGTGTTAAAAATTAAAAAAAAAATCGATATTTTGCTTAACATAAATGGTACACTACTGCTTTTTTTAAAGAAAATATTTTTTTTTCTTGACTGGCCATCCAAACCAAAATTGATCTTTTGAGTTTTTCTTGTTCATCAAACGGGTGCCGAGAAAAAAATAAATATACTTATTAAGAGTCCGCCTTAAGCCGTTTTCTAACGATTTTATATTTTTTGATTAATTAGGAAAAACCCTGTATATGTATATCACAGGCAACCAAATAAACTAGTAACCTCTAAAAAAATGGTTCCTACCACTAGCGACATACCGTGTTTTTAGTGAGTACTAAATTATTTTATCAAAATTTCACAATATAAGTTTCCAGGCAATGATTAGAGGTTCGAATTCTAGTTCATTGGGAGGAACTAGTTTCTTAGTTCTAGTTCCTCCAGAGGAATAGTTCCTTGAACTAGATCTTTAGTTCACAATAGTTCTCGACTAATATTGACATCCCCGTTGCTTACTAATGGGTTTCGTTGTCAGTCAGAACTATTCACAGTATGATCTATATAATTTTTATAATGTACGAAATATAACAAGACGTCTAATTGCGTATGTTAAAAATATATAGGTAAGTTTTATTGCAGAGAAATAAAATTAAAAAAGAAACTCAAATCAGAGTTTAAAAATCACTATATCACAAATCAATTGGAGCAAATATTACGAGAACTTTACAAAAAATTGCATTTTTCATCACCTCAAGCTTTTGTTTTTGTCTAAAAATTCAGAATATCTACTCCGTTTTATAAGATATTTCTTCATTTTAGGGACCCGAAGTGAAACATTTCCATAAAATATTCAAAGAACAAACTAATAATCAAAAACAGTATCCACGACAATTTTCTGTGTTAATTACGCCGGCTGTGGCAATAGACAAGACCGAATCCATCGTCGTCGCCTTGTATTATATCTCGGATCTACCGACTGAATAGATTCCCGTGAAATAGTCTTTTAAGTAGTTCCTCTCAGTCCTTTCGGTCCGGGACAGGTAACATACGGCTGGCACTCTCCACTCCCGCCTAGAATCAGGCTACGAGCGCGCTGGCCGATCCGTACGTAAACTAGTCTTTTATTTTGTTCCTCTAGTTCCTCTAGGTCCGGATCCGGTAACATACGGCTGGCACTCCCGACTGCTGCCTAATATCGGGCTACGATCGCCCTGGCCGATCCGTCGCCGCCGCATATTATTATATATCGGTCACAGTCTCGATTCCGGAATAGGTCCTGAGGAACTAGTTCTTTGAGAAACCGGGAACTAGTTCCTTTCATTCCGGGATCGGAATAGTTTATTGGTACTAGTTCGTTCACGAACTATAGACATCTAGTAGACATGTTTGTATCGGCCTGTTTTGTTCCAGTACCATCAGTACAGCAATCCAGCAGCGATGGTGGGCACGTTCCCAAGGGACTCCAGACCCAAAGACCTATGCTTAACCAACGGCAACTCCAGGTCTTCTGATTTGGAATTGAACGGACTGGCCATCAAGGAAAGGCTCATGGCCAGCAGATTGCCTGAAAGCTGCGTCTAAAAGTTTCCACCGATTGTTTTCCTCGTAAAGAAGATGAAAAATCACGGAGAAAATGGAAAAATGATTGTAGATTGGTGAAAAACTTTCCTGCCGTCCAAGAAAGTGCGTGTGCTTGTGTTTTTTGTAACTAAATATTTATCCCTGTTTCTACAGAAAAAATCTCTACGAACGACAGAACGTTTGACAGTGCCATAAATAGTTCCAGGTAAAGTTTATCCAACGAGTCAGGGAAAATTTTGCTGATGACACCTAAAATAAGACAGAAAATACAATTTAGCTCTGACTTAAAATGACAGACATCTTTCACTGTCATGTATTTTCTCGTTGGGCGGATATGTATATTGCGTCAGTTATTAACATGGATCTGAAAATATTTGTAGCCAGTATATACCGGGTACGTCCCAAAAGTGACTCACCCCTATAACTTTTTTTGTTTTCTAATAAAAAAAAACGAGATTTGGTATGTTACTGTTACTGTTTCAGCGGAAATGACTACAACTTTTGATTTTTAAATGGCACCCTCGGTATTTTTTTACTTTTTTCGATAGAAAATGATGCTGAATAGAATGACATATCATATGTCAACTTTTGACATATTGCTTAAAAATCGTCGTATTTTAAATTTCAATCTAGAATGCCATGGCTGTGTTAAAAACACTAATTTTTAATCAAGGAGCCTTGAGAATATATATTTGATCATTTAATGTTTTTAGTGTCTTGTCCTGGCCGGTTAAAAGATGCCCACATCCTATTTTTAATCATATCTCAATTTTTTCAAATGGAACGAGGGTGGTTCATTAGCATATTTGGAAAAAAACATTTTTTACGAATAATTTGGTACCACACATTTGGTATTTTGAGTCAAATTGTAGTTATGAACCGCAAGGCACAATTCCAAATAACCCAGAGTGTCATTTTCTATCGAATAAGGTAAAAAAATACCGAGGGTGCCATTTAAAAATCAAAATTTATAGTAATTTCCGGTGAAACAGGAAGTGACAGAAAATAATTGAATACGTCAATCAATCCTAATTTATGTCAAATACTAACATACCAAATCTTGCTTTTTATCTGAAAGAACAATAAAGTTTTAGAGGTGAGCCACTTTTGAGACGCTCCCGGTATATGCGCTAATAATGTGAAGTTTCAATATTTTCGATAAATGAAAAGTAGATTTTTTTATAACATCGGAATTGTATATTAACAGCAGCTGACAGAAAGTTCGACGTGAGTCAATTTGATTTTCATTTCAAGACATTCAAAGTAGTCAAAATAAAAGAAAAACAGAATATCACTAAAAAATTGTAGAAAGGTTCTGAAAGAAGCTTTAGAACCTCGCAATTAGTGGTTTCAATTACACTTTATACTTTTTGGTTTACTACAATTTCGCTAAACGCACACTAGTGCGATCACGATCTCCACGCGTGCGCGGCCAAAAGTTGCTGCAGAATATATATTATGAGCCGTTTCACATTAGCGCGATCGAGTTTTGCAGACGAAGCGGCCTGGCTGCGTTCTATTCTGCGGTGGCGATCAGATTCAACTTGTCGAGTTTGATCGCGACCCAACTGATAGGAATTTTCGGTTATTTTGTGTGTTTTTTCTTGTTGCAATTTAGAAATGGAGTTAACAGAGCAGCTAATTAAGGCTGTAAAAATACACAAAATTCTATATGATTTATTCCAGCAAAATAAAACACTAAATCACCACAATACACCAAAACACTTTTACTTTTACATTGGACGCGCGTTTCGCTAACCATGTTAGCATCATCAGCAGATGATTATAAACGAAAGTACAATCTACAAGTTGAGCGTTTATATGCTCCCTCAGTGGGCACCGAGTGGGCGTGGCAAAAATCTAGCCACCCGAGTCAGAGCCCACTGAGCGTAACAGTTAGATTTCCGCCACTAGTGTAGTAGGAACAAAGAATTTGAAGGAATTGGACCGTTGTCTCTGTTCATACTATCTTTACATTTATTAATTCTGATGCTTTCATATGCATCTAATTGCCTGTGATTTGAGACTTGTTTAATTAATTTTAAATTATTAGATCTATACAATGTTCTTTATCAACAATATGTTCGGCAACGCAAGATTTATCCGGTCTACCATATCTTATCTGAGCTAAATGTTCTTTAAATCTAGTTAATATTGATCTTCTAGTTTGCCCAACATATTTCTGATTACAATCTTTACAAGAAATTTCACAAATACCCGACCTTCCAGTGGAGGTGTTTTATCCTTTGGATTACCTAATAACTGTTGTGATTTATTATTAGCACTATACACACATTTATAATTGACATTCTTAAAAATTCCTTTTAGACCACGGGATAACTCCCTATCAAACGGTATTGAAAAATATTTAGACGTATCTTTCTCCACTTGAAAAGTCGAATTTTCAGAAATCATTAACCTATACCTACGTTTTCTAATTAATTTATCAACTAGTGAAGGAGAATATCCATTACACTCAGCTACATTCCTAATGTAATCTCTTTCTATTTCATATCTTTCGTTGGAAAGTGGGAAACTAAGTAATCTATGAACTAAGAAATTTAAACTAGCCATTTTATGTTCAACACTATGATGTGATTCATTAGGAATATATCTGCGTGTGGTGGTATTTTTCCTATAGATATCAAATTCCAGGCAATTCTTAGTATTTCTAATAACTAATACATCTAGAAATGGTAATCTGTCGTTGTTCTCAATTTCATGCGTAAATTTAATGGAAGGAAAACGATTATTTAACTTAGAAATAAAATTACCTATGGTGTCTGAATGTGTGTCAAAAACAGCAAAAATATTATCCACATACCTAAACCATACTCTTGGAAAATACTCAAACTGATTCTTAGCCTCCACTTCAAACCTGCTCATGAATAAATTAGCCAAAAATGGAGACAATGGATTACCCATTGCTGTACCTTCCCGCCGTTCAAAAAAGTTGTTATTAAATTGAAAACAATTTTGTTTCATACATAACGATGTAAGCTCAGTATATTCAATCACAGTTTTGTTGTCGAGATTTTGTTTTTATTTCGCTGTGTAACACCAAAGGTTCCAACCTTCAACTGTAATGATTTATCCCATCCAAGTTACTTAATTAATAGAATTGAAAATAAAACGTTTGAGATAACATTGGAGTTGTAATTGGATTGGATAGTACATATGTATACATTTTTATTGTTTAAGTTTAAATATTGTAGTAAATATTTAAGAGTGTTTTTTTTCGGTATACATAATTCATATTTTTAATTTCTACCTATGTATACCTACAGGATAGCTCACTACATATAGGTACGGCGGTGAACGTGAACGCGTTGGTGTGTGGTAGAATGATCGCTCATGGTATCGCTGCCCTGATCGTGATCGTGATCGCGGCTGTGATCGCACCAGTGTACGTGTAGCTTTTCTTGTGACGGAAGATAATCAAAGGTGATCAAAGGCCAAAATGACATTTCTCGCAAATTTTGAAGCATAATTAGTGAAAAAAATTAAAATTTTGTTAACTTTTTCTACTAATTATGGTAATTACTACCATTAATTTTGATGTTCTGAATGCTTACGTTGAGTTTAGAAGAACAAACTTCTACGCTAATTGAAACCACTAATTGAGAGGTTCTGAATGAAGCTTAGAGTATGGAAGGTATTCATTGGCACAAACTTAATTAATTTTAATTATTAATTTTTAATTATTACCTACAAATTTGTCACACTTGTCCGGTTTTAGTTTAAATAAAAACAATTGCTTAATTTAAAAATATTCTTAGATCCATCTTTTTAATTTAGAAGAATAAAGAAGAAACTGTATGTACAATAACAAATATTTACTGTGAATATCAATATACTCTTTTGACGAAACTGAAAAACTATCATAAATAGATAATAATGTAAGATAATACTTATTAGATTCATATCCAGTACATTTCATAATATTTGATGGGAATTATCAAAATCGCAAAAATGTTAAAATATTAAGAATCATATCAAAATTAAACGTTTTCATATCAGTAAAAATACAATATCAATTTTACATTTAATCGCAATATACTAAAACATTATTCAGTACTCATTGAACCGTTTATATTTCATTTTTTGAAAAATTAAACATCATCAGTAATTATTATGTGCGTAGAAGAACAGCTAAAATTTTATATTCAAACACAACAGATACATAGATGATCTTTTAGAAATATTTAATACACTCACCAGCACAAAAACGGGCACCTTAAAATTTTCATGTATTTTAAAGTTTTTTATATTGTGTTTAGTGAACCGATTTGGTGATTTTTTAAGAAATTTGTTGCTAAATTATTTGAATTTTTAGTGTCTTTTTCTAAATTAAAAATGAAAGTTTCCATCTGTCAATTATACGAGGGAAAACAGAATGTTTATAAAAAATGTCTATACCTATGTGGCGGATTCATCTTTCCAAAAATATCCTTTATGGGTATTTCGCCACTGCACTGCAAGAAAATTTACAAAATAAAATAATTATTTTTTGTAAACATTTCTGCGTTAAACCTAAACGGACGCTGCTTGTCAGAAGTTATGTTTACAGTAGTACAAATTTTCCTAACAAAGAAAACAAATGCTTAACGTTTCGGAAAGTTATCTCTTTCCGTCGTCGGAAGCAAAAAAATACAAAGAATAGAGAAAAAAACTATTTAAAATATTTAAATTCAACTATTCGAGAACACTTTACTTTTTTAAAACAGATACGTCTACAACAAACCGTTGACGTTCTGTTAAAATGACATTTTTAACTTGATATTTAAACTTCAAAATTAACAATTACTACCTGATAACAATTACTTAATAAGGTAAAACCAAAAAGCCCCAAACTTTCTGTATGATTATTTTTAAATTTTACGTATGTTATGTTTATTTATCTTGTTGTATCTATTGTGCTTTAAAATCAAAGAAGCGATTGCCATACATTACTAAGATTAATTTAAAAAAGCCTCTTTTATTTTTCTTTTAGAGGCTATCGCTTCATTCATTATAATTTTGGCGTTATTAAAATTTATTCTGTGCCCTGTGGCCCAAGAATGCTGACAAACCTTAGATTTGTGAAAATCTCCCTTTCTTAAATAATCTTTATGTTTTTTAATTCTAACATTTAAGGGTCTAGATGTTTCACAAATGTAAAATTTATCGCATTCACAGGGTATTTGGTATATTACATTTTTTGTTTGTTGTTCTGTATTGATTGGTTTAGTACGTGATAAAATGGACCTAAGTGTATTTTGTGTTTTGAAAGATGTTCGTATGTTATATTGTTTTCCTATCCTTCTTATTTTTTCCGAAACGCCCCGTATGTATGGAATTGTAAGTTGTATATATTGTGTATTGTTATCAT